CTCTTATTCAATATAGTACTGGAAGTCCTAGACAATGCAATCAGACAAGAGAAGGAAATAAAAGGCATTCCAATAGAGAAGGGAGAGCTGAGATTATCTCTGTTTGTAGATGACATGATTTTATATATAGAAGACCCAATAGTATCCACAAAAAAACTTCTTGATGTAATAAATGCATACAATAAAGTGGCAGGACATAAAATTAACTTACAAAAATCTATAGCATTTCTACATACAAATAACAAGCAGACAGAGATAGAACAGAAGAAAGTAATTCCATTTACCATAGCCACAAGAAGTATAAGATACCTAGGAATAAAACTAACCAAGGAAGTCAAAGACCTCTATAAGGAAAACTATGAAAACCTTAAAAAGGAAATTGAAAAGGACACAAGAAAGTGGAAGGATCCCATGTTCCTAGATTGGCAAAATTAATATAAATCAAAATGCCAATCCTAGCCAAATTAATCCACATATTTAATGCAATCCTTATAAAATTACAAAAGACATTCTTCACAGATCTAGAAAAGACAATCATAGAATTTGTCTGGAATCATAAAAGACTCTGTATTGCCAAAGTCATCCTGCATAAGAAGAGTGGAGTGGGTGGCACTTCAATCATGACCTCAAAATATATTACAAAGCTGTAATAATCAAAACAGCATCATACTGGTATAAAAACAGATATGAGGACCAATAGAACAGAGTAGAGATCCCAGAAATAAACCGCAAAACATACAGCCAAATGATCTTTGACGAAGGGTACCAGTCAATCCAGTGGGAAAAGGTGCTGGAAAAACTGGGTATCCATCTGCAGAAAGATGAATCTGAACCCCTATCTATCACTATTAACAAACAACAACAAAAAAAAAAACCTCAATGTGGATCAAAGATCTAAACCTAAGACTTCAAACTATAAAACTACTGGTGGAAAACACTGGGGAAACTCAGAGAGACATTGGAGTAGGCACTGACTTAAGCAAGACCCCCAAAGCACAGTTGATAATCCCAAAAATAGACAGGTGGGATTACACCAGATTCAGAAGTTTCTAAACAGCAAAGAACACTGTAATTAGTGTGAATTCAACAAACCTCTGAATAGGAGAGAATTTTTATTAACTGTGCCTCAGATAAGAGACTGATAACCAGAATACACAGGGAACTCAAGCAGCTTACCTGGAATAAAATTATTAACCCAATTAAAAGATGGGAAAATGAGCTGAATAAACAACTCTCTAAGGAAGACATATGAACAGCCAAAAAGCATATGAAAAAATGCTCAACATCCCTCATTGTAAGAGAGATGCAGATCAAAACCATAATGATATACCACCTAACCCTTGTCAGAATGGTGAAGATTAAAAAAAAAAAAAAAAAAAAAAAAAAAAAAAAAACAAGAGT